TAAATTTTGATTTGCCTTATGTGTAGAATCTTCTTTTTCGGTATTCTTTGCTGCTTCAGATTTCTCAATATACAAAATCAAAATAAATTAGTTATTTAAGGGGAGCTTAGTGAGGAATAAGGTTGGAGAAATGTACAGGGTTTTTTTTTATACATTATACGCTGAACATCATTGGTACCACTTGCATCTAGATTGTATATACCCAAGTATTTATTATACTAAATTTACTGACTGGAGTTCTGGCTTCTAACCGATAACTCCTGTCCAACAGCCAAGCACAATGGGACCAGATTTCCATTGCTTCCCTACCCATGTACAAATGTGCAAAGTATGGCTAATAGTTGGAAATACTAAGTGATATAAAACTTGTTTATTTTCTACAGGGATTATTTTTGAGGAGGGTTTTTGTTTTGTTTTTTACTAAACTTCTCCATTCCCAAACCCTGGTTTCATGTGCATGTGTCCCAGAGAAGGGAAAGCTTGTCAGTTTTAGTAGCCCTCTCCCCAAGCATTGGTGGCTGCACCATTGCTTCTTGGGCTCAGCTCTTCAGGCTACACTGCTTGGGCTTCCCTCATGTTTCTGTATCAAAGCTGGGGTCTAGATGTGGCTTCCAACCCCCTTTTTTGCATGGCTTCATGGAAGAGTGAAGGGAATGTGCACTGTTAAGCCAGTTAACTTCCCCTTATGGGGAAAGCTGGAGAACAAGAGGCAGGTCGCAGCAGAACAAGGAGACAACAAAATGTCACCCTGCTGCAACAAAATGATGCATTTTGTGGCATCTTGGAAAAATGCCAAATTATGTGGCTGTGGTTCCTTTGTAGACACTGCAGTTCAAGTGTGTGTGGAATCAGGGCCTGCCCTAGACCAAATGGCACCCCAGGCAAGGAACATCTTCGGTGCCCGCCTTCCCCCCCATTAAACTTTTGAGTACCTTATTTGTTATTGCAGTTGTAGTCCATTTCGTGACTTTGATGCACTATTTGCATGCATGATTTATCCCTATCATATAAGATGATAAATTTGCATGCTAGGATCTGTAAATCTGTATTTATCATGCAATGTACAAGCAAATAAAAAAATTTAATTTCCTCTAAGCTTATAGAAACTTTTTAATTTTAAGAATAACTGAAATGTACTAACATCAAGAAATTGAACAGTGCACCAACTTTGGATGGACCCCAATATTAAATAATGTTACAGTGGGCCTTAGAATGTTAACCCTAGTCCTTTAGTTCAGAAGGTCGTTTTCTCGCCTTTGCCCTCACAAACTGAATCACAGCATCAGAGAGATCCAAAGATTTGCCAACAGCATTTTCAAGCGGTAAAATAGCAAGCGATGTCAGTCTCTCGTCGGCAATCATCGATCAAAGATATGTTTTAATGAGCATGAGTTTTGAAAAGCTGCGCTCACCACTTGCGACTCTGACTGGCAGCATGAGCAGAATCCTCAAAGCTATTCACACATTAGGAATAGTTTTCTTCAGCTCTGCATCTTGAATGAATTGGAGAACTTGGAGTGGAGAGTGCTTCCTGTGTGGCAAAATGTGACAGATGATGTCCAGTTTGACATAGAGGTCTTTATCATTGACATCCGAATATTCCCCATGTTGTGTCAGCGTCTGGTGAAGGTCCATACAATTGTTCAAGAGTGTTTTACAGTCTCCTGGAGCTTACTAAGGTCATACAAAACCTCCCAGGTCTTTTTGTGGTGCTTCATTTATCTGAACCTTTCTTCAGTGGACACTTGAGCAGTGTCAATGAGCAAGCAAAAAAACTCCCTCTTGAATTTTTCTTCTGAGTTTCCCATTACCTCATCTTTTCCCTCATAACCAAACAGTCTCTTCTTCCAATGAATATGAGTTTTCTTGAAGACTGGCTGAACTCCTAAGTTTTCCACCATTTCTTTGGCAGCAGTGATGGCATCTTCAAATCCATTGTCTCTGTAGGCCACAACAAAATCAAGGCAACTTCTCACCAAAATAGTAGCGGTTGTCATGTCCATTGACTGAGTTTGTAATGCCTTGCTTAGAATGTTTACTTGGAACAGGATATCATCCAAACCACAATTGAGACCAGAAATTTGAAGTCAGTGATCTGGTTTGGCTAGCTTTGTGCCTTGTTGAATTCTGGCCTCAGCTTTACTCGACTGCACCAGTTCCCTCCAGGCATTGTAAACCTCAGTCACTTGGTACCTCATTGGTCTTACGCTGTCAATGTGGCTTTCCCAGCAAGAGCCATTTATCAGCTTCATGGTCAGATTTGTAACATTGTCTGTGAGGATCTTCCACCTGATAGTTGATGCTGAAAACAGGATGTTTATCCTTTGCAGTACTCTGAAGAGAGATACTGAATCTAAAGATGACAACGCTGCATCTGACACAACCAAGTTGAGAGAATGGCAGCCACAAGGCACGAAAGCTCTTGGATTCAGCACAAGGACCTTTGCCTGGACGCCACTGTTTCTTCCCTTCATGTTCATGCCATTGTTGTAGCCTTGGCCACAGCAGTCCTGAAGCTTTATTTTATTCTCATTCAAAACATTCATAAACAGTTCTGCTAGGTCTTTTCCAGTAGTCATCCACAGACCGGAAACAGATAAAGCATTCGTTTACTTGGCTACAGCCTTCCTCATCATCAACAAATCTTACTGTAAACATCTTTTCACTGTGTCTAATATCAGGAATGCAGTCCATTATTTCGGCGTAGTATTTCATTTTGCTGAGCTGCATCAATATGTTATCAAACACCTTCCTTCCCATAAGGTCAATCAATTTGTTTTGAATAATTTTGCTGCAGTAATGGTCCACAGCTTCTTTACAAACTACTCTACGTAGGTGCTCACGCATGACATCATCGTATTTCCCCAGGAGCTCTACCAAACTGAGGAAATTACCATTATGCTCTGTGAACAACTTATCTGGCGAGCCCTGGAAAGCCAAATTATTCTTTGCCAGGAAGAGAATAATTGAGATCAGACGCTCGAGCACATTCCTCCAATGCTGGGTTTCTGCATTAATGTTGTGCTGGTTTTCAGCATCTGTGCATTTATTCAGCTTGAGTCTGGACTCAACCAACATCCATTTGGAGTAAGCTGTAAAATGGTCGGGTGACTTTTCATGTTGCTTCAGAGAACCAGCTAAATTATGCCAGTGATTGTAACCGGAAAGTGCAAGCAGTGACTTGGCATTCTTGTCAATTATTTTATAACAAAACCTGAACGTTTTGTCCATTGATATTGAGTAGCTAACACCAATTCAGTTTCTCACCATTCTCAAGCACTCTCTTGCAGTGCGACTTAGAGAAGTGTCGCTTCTACTCATTTGCTGGAAATGTTACATTCTCGATTTTTTTTCTTGGCCCGTTCAAAATTGTATTATTATCAGCAGAGTTTAGGATCACTGGCCATAAAGCAGAATCTAATGTATTGATTTGTGGTGTGCAGGTTTTTCTCACTGCTGTTTGTCATCATACGAGGCTAATTCTTTATTGTTTCTCTCCTTTTCATGTAAACCAGATTCTTCTTTGTCATCACTCTTCTTTACAATGCTAGGAAAACTGGATGATTCTCCATCACTTTCCTCACATTTCATTCCTTATCTTCAGGTAAATCTGTTAATTCCTTAGTAATAGGACTTCCACACTTTGCTCCTCAATTTCTTCTGCACTGGGACAATTGGTATTGCCTAAAGCCTGGTCTATGTTCTGCTTCAGATGTTTTCCCATCAAATTTGCCCCTTGCTGTAAACTGGATTGCAGTTGAGCTTTTCACTTCCTATACTGAGCTCCTCAAGGCTTCATCGGGGGCATCTTTTATTTCTTACAAGGGAAAAGAGACAATGTTAGGGAGAGCAAAAGTCTATGTTCCGCAGTCTTAGAGAGTCATCAAACATTGTGTTAAGCATGGCAAAAGAAGTAACAGTATTTCTGTTATATTGTTGCATAGATAGGGTTTGGTAGATATCTCTGGCATCTCATTAAATATGTCCTTTATTAATCGCTACTTACACTCTTCAAGTCTTAAAACACAAGTATACTTTCACAATTACGCAACAAAACAAGGTTCACAATATTGCAGTTGGGCTCTCACTTCACTTCAGTTCGTTCTTTATATCTCGCTGGCTGACTGACTGGCGAATCCCCACCCCTTATATACTCACAAGGGCACGGCTGATGACATTGTAGGAGGTTTAAGGAAAATGTAGTTCTCAGAAAGTCTGGAAGGTTCCATGAGATTCTACAAAGGTCCAGAACATTGTAGAAGATTAGTGAAAAATGAATCCACATATGGAATACCTGAAACATTTTACTTCAAACATTCTCTTTTCCCTTTTGTCGCTAACAGCAAAAAGAGCACCCTGAGCCCAGCACCCCAGGCGATTGCCTGGCTTTCCTGGCCCTAAATCCATTCCTGTGTGGGAGTGGTGGGGCAGTGTGTGTGTGAATTAAGAATCCATGAAAGAAGGAGGACACTGAATGCTCTCAGGAGGACAGAAAATGGGATTATACTTACTTTCAAGGGTATAAGCTGACAGTTAGCTTTTATTGGATATCCAATAAAAGCTATCTGTGTATTGCTACAGATTCCATTTAAAATAAATGTGGGTGAAAGTACATAGTTGGCATGGGTAGTGTCTGCTACAGGTAAAGTTGCGAAAACATTTCTACAGTATCCCCTTGTTTTCATATGCTTATTTCCTGAAACTTTTGTTTTGCACTAAAATTTTCCATACATAGCCTCTATCCCAGCTTTTTCTTTGGTGATGCTTAAGCAAACTCCTTCCATCTCCTTTAGATTTGAAAGGAAAGGCTATGTTCTTCACTGTGTGTGTAAGACTTTAGCACCTTTTAAACTTCGAAACTTGTGCATGAAGGACTATGTACATCAGCATATGCTTTGCTAATCTTAAAAAACGCTTTGAGAATTGCACATCCTATTTTACTGCATCTTTAAACCTAAGTCTGTTTGTTCTTTGATTTTAATCATGTGCTTTCTTCTCAGGTTTCTAGCAGAATACCATGATGACTTCTTCCCAGAGTCTGCTTATGTAGCTGCATGTGAGGCTTACTATAGCACCAAGAATCCTCGGGCAATCTACTGAAGCTTTTAGTGAACAATAAATCCTGCTGTACATAGCCCATGGTTGTTGCTGCTTTGCCACATAGCTACGAGATGAAGATGAAATGGAATTTGTATGGCCTTTTTCAGATAGGAAAAAGGGAGTCGCGTCTATGACTACTGGATTCGTTAGCAGAGATGGACCACTTCTTGTTTTAGAGCCATGCAAAGATTGCATTCTGAATTTCTCCAAGTGTTGCATGTAAGCTGCACTTCTAGAAGAAGCCCTGCACTGACTTCTAATGCATAGGACTGCATATAGTTCTTATTAAGAAGTGTGTGTGGGGGGGGAAGCAGGTGCATTAGCAGTGGGACGCTTTCATGAAAACAAATACCTCATGCTGTCTTTCATTTTAACATGAACTGTTTTCAGCATGAAAAGTTAAACTGGCTTCACTCTCGTGTAAGGAGAATGCATAACTGGCATCCTGTGGATTTCGTTTCACACACAGAACACACACTTCATTTTGTGAAACGGTCATGGCAGGAAAGAGTGCTGCATGTAGAGGAAGAATTGCATAGCAATTTTATTGTCATGGTCTCTGACTCAAGGAAGTAGTTTTCTGTGGCTTAAATGAAAAATGTTGCTTGGTTTTTCTTTTTAAAAGGCATCTGTCTTTCCCATAGTAGGTTGCCACAGTTACAAGTGCAGACCTCACCAGTGATTCATCTTATCCATGTCTGTGAATGATTCCTAAAGGCATTAAAGAACAGGATGTTCTAACAGGTTCTCACAGAGTAAGCATAGAGTGAATAAAGTGACAGCAATTACTTTGGCAAACTTTTTTCTTAATAAAGAAACTGGTTGGTAATTGAAGGTGTGATATTTGGGTGGATGATCTCAAAAATGGGGTTTTGTTTGGACTTTCATTGTATATTTTCACTAATTATTACTATGTAGAGAATGGGGGGTGGGAGTAGTGACTGTAAAAATGGCACCTTTTTATTGTACAATTTCTGTCCGAAAGCAGAGGCACATCTCTTAGATTTACACTGGCAAATTTTACTCTCTTTAGCACTGCAAAACTCTTGCAGCTGTGTGAGAATGAGCTGGATTCTGTTATCCCTCATCCCTCTGACAATACATACTTGGCAGAATTAACTGTTTATCTTGGGTACTTCCATTACTGTGAGTGCCTCGTAATCATTAATGTATTTATCCATACAACACCCCTGTGAGGTAGAGAAGTGCTGTTATCCCCATTTTGCAGATGGGGAATCTGAAGCACAGAGAGGAAAGTGACTTGCCCAAAAACACAAGAAACCTGAGCAGAAAATTGAACCTAGGTCTCCCAAGTCCTGGGCTAGTGCCCCAATCACTGGTCAGTCCTTATTCCCTTGAAGCACCCCAATTCTAGAACGATTGCCTGTGATTCTGGAGCCAAAAAGAACCCACTAGAGCTTGCAGGTCTTGGAGTTAGTAAAACCATCTCTTTCCATGTAAATCACAAATATATTCTGTAAGAAGTAACCCAGATCTGAAGAAAGAGCTCGGTGTAAGCTTGAAAACTTCTTTAATTGGCCCAACTTCTGTTGGGGTGAGAAAGATATTACCTCCCCCACCTCGTGTCTCTAATATCCTGGGACGAACACAGCTACAACAGCACTGCATTACCAGTTAATGTCACTTGTCAAGAGTGGAACGGCATGTTCGAGCCTTGAACTGAAAAGGTAGAGATGACCTTGGTTTTAGTGAATGAGACTCTGCAAAAGGAAAAGCTTCTACAGAGTCTTAACGTCAGGGTAGCTACACTCATTTTGGATCCATACCAAAATGAGATTTGGAGACCCTTATTTCTAAAGATTCATTTAGTGGTGCTATTTTTTAAATTGTATTCCTGTAGTACCAAGTTTCCCGGGCTATAGTCTCCATTCCAAAACTGTAGAGATTCTGAATCTACAGTACAAGCTGAGTAGTTCACGATCCTCTTTAATATGGGACACTCCTGACATAAACTTGATACAGCAGGTAAAAAATACTATTCAAATATTAATGAATGTCTAACAAGATATTAAGCTTAGAATATCGCTGAAACGCCATCCTTAATCCTCTCCATTGTGGCAGAGTGTTGCAGTGCATATGATAGGTCAAATCTTTTTCCCCTATCAATGCCTAAGAATAAGAGGGCAGGTTGAGAGTAGAATTTAAACCTTATTGCATGGTTATGTTTTAACTGTAACAGTGACCTTTTGTGCATGCCATAATTATTTATTAATGTCTGTATTCAGTTTGCTCAGTGATTTGAGAAGCAGTTTAGGTAGTACCTGCATGCATTGTGCCTGGTTCAAACCAGTTGTATGAACTCATTTTCATGAGTAACCAATTTGCCCCCGTCTTTCTACCTCTACACCATTAGGTATAAAAAACAGACTCTTGCATCCTATAAATCTGCTGCAACATGTGTGAGCCTGGTCGAAGTATTCATTGATTTGTGTTGAGTATAACACTAAAGGCAACCTGCAAATCTTCCTACAAAATTTCTTCATCTGGAGCAATATATGACTTGTCCATTTATGAGGACTATTTGCCACTTTAGCAGATTCCTCAAATGGGGCAGAGAGACTTGCAGGCTATCTTTTTATACCTATGGTTTAATTATAGTGGTACTGAAGAAGCTGCTATAGGTGAAGGTTAGTGAGCATTTTGGTTACTTATGATATGTTTTGTAGGCTGCTTGTTTTTAAAAAGAAAATCCTCCCAACAGAAACACTTTGGTTATGTTTAGATCTCACATGTGTGGCTGAGTAGGAGGTAGTTTTACTAATTGTTTTTTAATCAAAGTTTAATATGGATTTTATACTTTTTACTGTGGGTAAGTGACTAGTGCACAGTTATTTAATGCCAGAGTAATTAGATATCTGCTGTTTTTAATAAAAATAATTTTTGAAATGTACAATTGATATAAACAGCAACTAATTGGATATTTCATAAGGATTTTACTCAGTGACAGATGGATGATATGACACACACAATATATACGCAGTATTGCCAACCCCAATCATTCTGAAATCATGAGTTATTCCCCAAAAAGGTGTGAGATTGGCTTACAAATCATGATGTTTACCTTCTGGCTTTTGTAGTCTCTGAGGCACACATGGGTCAAGTTTTCATGCTTTTCTCTGCAACTATGAGTGTTAGAACCTTTTTTGTTTTTTAAATAAGCTGAGATTTTCAGCTAATCACAGGCCTCCAAGAGCTGGGACTTTAGGAAAGTATCACAAGATTGGCAATAAAATTGTGAGTTGTCAACACTGCATTGTTGCAGGATGCCATTAAATTCAACACACACACTTCGCAGTTTTTCTGATGCAAACAGATGTGAGACATAACTCAGCTTCCAATAGGAGTGTTTTTCAGGTAAGAAGTAGTTGCTTAAACAAAATTGTACTGTATAAACTGGTCTACCTATGCCAAAAGGATATATCTGTAGTTTATGGAGCAAATAATACATTTTTATGATTTAAAGTTGCTTGCAGTGAATGTCTAGAGGAAAATGTATAGGTAAATACTGTATCAGCACAAAATTATTACACTTTAGAAAGAAGGAAACAAGATGACATTGTGACACTCTTGAATCACTGATATAGTGGTGATATTGTTGTTCATATTGCTCCTGACCCCCTCCTGAATATTTCAATTTCTTTTGCTTATCATAAGAATAAGGGGGAAATAAGTTACCTAGTGGTATTATCTTACTCCTCTTATTACTGAACCCAGAAGAGACAGGAACTAACTTGTTCTTTCTATCACTGACCAAGCACACACTATGTATATCAACAGTTCAGGCTGACTTGAGGCCCTGTAGTTGCTTGTGGCTAATGGTATTCGGATCCTGTTAGTTACAGAGCCCCATTACTCATAAATCCCTCCTCTGGCCTTGCACCAAACTTGTTATTACAGATGTCCATTTGCATCACCATATTATTAAACAAGAACTAAAAAGACCGTGTCTCTACATGGAGAACAAAGGCTAAAACGAAAAAAAAAAAAAATGCCGAGAACATGGAAGAAGCATATTATTTGCCAATTTTGTCTATGCAAATAACTGGGTAATTTATTGTTCGCAGGAAGAAGCAGCTCTGTGTGGCTTGAAAGTTTGTCTTTTTCACCAACAGAAGTTGGTCCAATTAAAGATTACCTTGCCCACCTTGTCTCTAGGTAATTTATTGTAAATGTACATAAATATTTAGAAGGACTGTAAAGGAAAACTTGGGGCTGGGGCGGGGGCGGGGGGAAATAAGATCAGTCCTACAGATTCAACTGCAATTCCTGACAATGAGGTGTAAGATGCAGATGATGGTGACTGGAGTATAAATGTCTTCAAAGATGCTGGGTTGAGGAGCATGCTGTATGGCAGCTCCTTCCAAACCATTAGGAAAGATGTAGATGGTGGTTCTGTCCCCAGAACCAGTTTCATTGTTCTTGCCAATGCGGGAGAGTCTATATCTCCAGCCTATCAAGATCCACTTTCTGTGGCACTGCTAAACAGTGGCAGTAGTATCCCCTTGTGCTTAGGGAGCTCACACAGCCACATTCCCATCCTCCAATGTTTTTGTGTAGAAGGCAAAGGGGCTACTCTGCTGTCTCTTTTTACTCACATGCCCGTATGCATCAATAACAGAGTGGCCCTAATTTTAGCACAAAAGGGATGAAAGCCAACTCTTGGACCCCATATGGCCAACAGCACCCAACTTCAGACAAATAAATAATGTATTAAATGCTAATCAGTGAGTAGTAGAAAGGGTTAAGATGCTAGTGAAAGAAAAATACCAAGACTACTATTTTATTATCATCTGGGATAGAAGATAAAGCCAAGGGTTCATATGATTCAAAAACTATTGAAGACTGCTGTACAACTAATGTTCATTTTTATTATTAACCATAGATAACATCAGTGATTTGGGGAAGGGCAAATGTAGTTCCAGTCTTTATGAAGGTGAAAAGGGACTCATCACCACATACACATTGTGCTGAAATTCACACTTGTACCAAAGATCCTGACTCCCCCTTTTTTTAAGATGGTCCCTGGTTGCCGGCTAAATAATGCTTTCTAACTGTTTAAAGCTGTTTTTAAATTGGGTTTGAAACTGTTACAAGTAACAGTAAGAAGTAGTCAGTGCGAGCAAATGTCAAAACTCCAGTACAGCTTTCTCAGGGTATGTCTACACTGCAGCTGGGAGAAGCCTCCCAGCCCAGGAAGGTTGACTTGCGCGAGCAGGATTCAAGCTGGCATGCTTAAAAATAGCAATGTGGACATTATGGCTTGGGCTCTGAAGCCTGTGGAAGAGGTGGGCTTGGGAGCCCAAACTCTGGCTCGAGCTGCAACATTGAAGCACCATTTACACAGCTATTTTTAGAGTGCTAGCACAAATCTGGGCTGGGGGGGCTTCCTTGTGGATGCAGTATAGACATGCCCTTAGAGGCCAGTTTCATTCAGGGCTTGT